GCCCAAATGCGTGGATTTAACACTGATCAAATGATTGTATCACCATCTTTAATTTGAAACATGTAAAGCCCACGAGAGCATCCCTGCGGAGCGCTGAGGCACTCACACCACAACCAAGCACTCTCACAGGCTCCTCATCAGCTGCAGGCTTCTGCTAAGAGCCACTCCTTGCTGCAAGCACAGACTTCTGCTGAGCCTGCCAGCCCTGCTACAGCACCAGTGACATGTAATGTATTTAGGTTTCACAGCTGTTTTATAAACTATGGAGGTCTGAAGCTAAACCAGATGTTCTCCCCCTCAATGGTCGGTGTGCAATGGAGCAAAACGAGGCATTGCAGTGCGGCGTTTGGCAACTGGAGATGAGCAATGCTGTGACAGAGGAAGGTCAGGAGAGGCACTGCAGCTCAGGCAGTTCCAGTACCTGCTTTGTGAGTCCTATTGCTCCTTGCCAGTCCCACCTCCCTGGTGCTATTGTGCTTCAGAACATCCTGTGGCAACGTGTGCCACGGTCTAATGGTACGTTGTGTGAAAAAGCACTTCCGCCTGTTTATTTTAGACCTGCTGCGTCATAATTTCCTCTAAGAAATAGAAAACTGACGTACCCTGCTTGCTTTCTCTGACCTCTCCACGACTTCACACACTTGTCTCGCATTTCCCACCTGCCTGTGTCCCCCTGGGGTGAGGAAACATGGGCTGAGCTCCCCCCTGCATGATGGGTGAACCAGAGATGCCTGCAGCACCCGGCACACAAGCTGCCAATACAGCAGCATGACAAAGTTTCCAGCTTTGCTCTCTGCACCTTTTAAGCAATTCCAAAACACACATTTTAGACCCTGGTGTGGCACTGAAGCATTGTTTCAAGAGAAGCCACTGCTGACACGTTCCCAGCTCCTTCTTCAGCACTGAGAACCGATGCAGAGTCAATCGCTGCAGTATTGGGAGCCTTCATTAAACCCACTGCCACCGTGTGAGCGCCCAGCAGCACCTGGGCTCTCTCTGCATCCTCCCACAGCCGTGTTTATCCACCCTAAATAATTCAGTGTCAAAATTCAGCGCTTCCTTTCCTTCTCCATAACACCACATCCAGAAAGAGGAACAGATGACTGCGAACCTCCACAATAACCACTCCCCACTGGCAGCACCACGCTCCCCTTACCCTTCACGTGTCACTTTTTCACTGATTATTGATCCCATGGAGGGCTGCTACCCCTCAGATTTTTTTTTTTTGGTGGGGGGGGGGGGCCCGAGCGAAGCAGGGCTGTGTCAGACGTTGATAACCAAACACAGCACTCCATCAGCACAGGACCTGCTCCTGAAGGCCTGGAGCGAGCAGGAACCAAAGAAGAGCACAATAAACCTCTAAGAAATTGAGATCTTCTTCCTGCCCAGCCGGCAAGGCAGCACGGCGATGCTTTCCTCCGCTCCCCTCCCGCAATCTCCACGTTTCAGCACAGCCCCACGAGAAGGCCCTGCCACACCTCGCTGCCCCCGTGGGTCGGTGAGGGTCCTCCCCACTCCACAGCCAGCCCACAGCCACGGCCAGCACTCAGCCGGAGCCCCGCAGCGCTGGGGCGGCTCTGCCTTCACTTCACAACCGAGGACGAGGCGTGGAGGCCCGACCGCACCCCCCCCACCCGCTGTTCCCCCCGCCCCACGGTGGCTTCCCAGCCGCAGGCAGGCCCCAGAGGAGGCTTCGGAGCCCGGCAACCTGCTGGCCGGAGCTCCCCGCGCCGCTCCCGTCTCACTCCTGCCGTTCAACCCGGCGCGGCCTTACCCGGGGCGCTGAGGGAAAATGGAGGCCTCGGCGGCAGCGGTGGAAGCGAACGAGGAGGGTGGGGGGAGGAGGAGAAGGAGGGGGGGGTGGAGCAGACGAGCTGCGATCTCCGGGCGGGCAGAGCGGCGCCACTTCCGCTTCCGGTGGCGGCCGTCGCGGGGATGCGGCGGGGCCCGGTGCCGGTGGTGGCCTTCGTGCTGGCGCTGGGCGCGGCGGCGCGGGGTGGCGGTTCCGGGCCTGTAACGTGCGGTTCGGTGGTGAAGCTGCTCAACGTGCGGCACAACGTTCGGCTGCATTCGCACGATGTGCGCTACGGCTCCGGTAATGGCTTTCGTTCCTCCCCCTCTCGGTATAGCGGGGTCTCGTTGCTGATCCTAAGCCTGATCGCCGTTCTTGTCTCCCGCAGGCAGCGGGCAGCAGTCGGTGACCGGCGTGTCGGCGGCGGATGATGGGAACAGCTACTGGAGGGTGCGAGGCCGCACGGCCGCTGTGTGTGAGCGGGGCCAGCCGGTGCGCTGCGGGCAGGCCATCCGCCTCACGCACCTGGGCACCGGCCGCAACTTGCACAGCCACAACTTCGTCTCCCCGCTCTCTGGCAACCAGGTACCGGCACGGCCCTGCGCCCTGGGAGCAGCCCTCGTGTGCCATACCCCAAATGGGCACATCATGTATCCAGGGTCTGCAGGCTCGGCCTGTTCTCTGGTCCCTGCCAGATCTCCCAGGACATACTGATACCCTGCTGGGTGCTCCGGTCCCTGCCGGGTCCCTCTTGTTGCTATCGGGTCCCTACTGGGTCTTCCACAGTCCCTGCCAGGCCCATACTGGGTCACTCAGGCTCTGTGGTGTCTCACTTGTTGCCATCTGCTCTCTCAAGTCCCTACTGGCCCCATCTAGTCCCCCAGCCAACCCCCATTTGTCACCTCAAGACCTCAGACCTACAAGGTTCTCCCAGGCCAAAACAGGTCCCTGTCAGCCCCATCTTGTCCCCCAGCCGTTTTTCCCAGTCCTCATTCCCATCCTATCCCTGTCTTGGCCTCTAGGGCCAGCCACACATTCTACCTCCCCCATGTCATGTCATCCCCCACGCAAGGTCAACATCCTGTGGCACCTTTGGGACACCTGCATAGCTCTGTGTTAACGAGATTGCTAACGAATCAGCACTCAAAACTTGCAGCCTGTAAATCTGAGCACCCCCAGAGAGCTGTCCCTTCTCTGTCCCTCTGACACAAAGGTGATACAAAAACCCGAACCCTGAAACTGAGTTGTTTTGGTTTTTTTTTTTCCTCCAGGAGGTGAGCGCCTTTGGGGAGGATGGCGAGGGCGATTACCTGGACGACTGGACAGTGCTGTGCAGTGGGACCTACTGGGCACGGGACAGCGAGGTTCGCTTCCAGCACACCTCCACCGACGTCTTCCTCTCGGTGACAGGCGAGCAGTATGGGCGGCCCATCAACGGGCAGAGGGAGGTGCACGGCATGGCCACCTCCAGCCAGAATAACTACTGGAAGGTGATGGAAGGCATCTTCATGCAGCCCGGAGAGGTCTTCAAAGCGGAGCAGCACCACGTTGAGTTGTGACAGACGGACTGATGCGTTTGGGGCTGCTTGGTGCGGGGGTGGCCCCTGTCCACATGCGGTTGTGACGCGCGCTGGGAAGTAGAGCCCAACATCCTGAATCCAACACAAAGCTGATGGTGGTGTTCTGAATTTGACACTTTGTGTTTGGGATCCAATGCAAAGCAGATCTCAGAATCCTGAATCAACATAAAGCAGATCCCAAATCCAGCACAAAGCTGATCCCAAAATCCTGAATCCAGTACACAGCTCAACCCGACACCCCAAATCCAACATCCCGAATCCAACATAAAGCTGATCCCAGAATTCCAAATCCAACACCAAAGCTGATGATTCCAGTGTCCTAAATTTGACATTAAGCAGATTCCATCTTCCCCCATCCAGCACAAGGTCAACCCCAAATCCCAGCTCAGACAAGTAGCAGAGCTCAGTGCCCCAAATCCAACAGGAGGCAGATCACAGAACCTCAGATCCAAGCACCCAAAATCCAATGCAAAGCAGATCCCAGCACCCCAAATCAGATTCCAAAGTCCCATTTGGACACAGATCCGAGAACCTCCAAATAAATCACATCCCAAAGACCAGCCGGGACTCACAGCAGCTCCTTGCTCCCCAGAGCAGCACCCACACTCGCCAGCTGTAATCTGTTTATCTCCTTCTCCCCTGACCCGGTTCGGGGTTCCCTCCTCGGGGATCTGAGCCCCCTCCCCTCCACCCGGCCTCGCTGGGTGGAGATCCGCGTTCGCACCGCGGCGCAGAGAGATGTTATGCCACTCCGAGCCGCTAGGGGGCGCTACCGCCGAAACTCCGGACCGGCCCCGCCCCTCCGCTCCCAACCGTCACTCCGGGCCCGGCAGGCGGCTCTGCCCCCGCTGAGCGGACGGCGGCGGCCGGGCCCTGGGGGCCACCATGCTGCTGCCGCCGGGCCTGCCGCTACCGCTGCCAGCCGTTCTGCTCGGCCTCGGGCTCGTCTTGCTGCTCGCCGGGCTGCTGGCGCGGTCAGGGCCTGGGGGCGGGTCGCTGGGGCCGGGGGAGGGGCAAGGGAAGAGGTGGTGGGGGGCTGTGGTGGGGGGGCTGGGGGGCGGGGTGGGGGGGTGTCCGGGGGTGTAAGTGGGGGTGTGGGGTGCAGTGGGGTCTGTAGTTGGGGATGTGTGGTGTAGAGGGGACTGTAGGTGTGGGTATGTTGCATAGAGGGGTCTGTAGGTGCGGGCGTTGGGTGTAGAGGTCTGGATGAGGGGTGTAGGGGGGTCCAAAGGGGTCTCTGAAGGCCCCTAGGTATGGCTGGGGAGGCACCAGGGTGCTGGGGGAGAGGTGTCAGGCTGAAGGAGGTTGGGGTGGAGGCTGACAGGGCATTAGGAGCTTATAGGAGTCAAGGGATCTTGCAGGGATGGACATAGGGTGATGGGGAAGTCAGAATGGATCTCCAACGATATGGGAGGTGTTTGGGCTTTAGGGAGCCCCTGTAGTTCAGGGATGCTGTAGAGCTTGGAGGGAAATGTCAAAGGTGGAGGGTATTGTGTGAGGGGGATACAGTCAGGTATGGGGGTTTTGTGGTGCTTCTGTCCAGATCTGGGGGGGATCTCGTGGGCTGGATGTCGGGAGAAAGGGGGATTTGGAGCACAGGGCTTGGGGTGGAGGCTGAGGGACCCACAGACATGAGGGTCTCTGGGACAGTGCAGGTGGTAGGAAGGGAGAAGGTGTGTGGCTCAGCCAGCAGAGGTGGACCCTGTCCCTTTGCATATACCCACAGGTGGCTGGCATGCCGCCTGGCCATCACCTGGTGCCGGCAGAAGCTGCAGGCAGAGCTGAAGATTGGCTCCTTTGGCTTCTTCTGGGCACAGAACATCAGCCTCAAGTTCCAGCAGGAGCAGCAGACAGTGGTGGGTACCTGTGGAGGAGTCACAGCTGGGTGAAGGTGGGATGGATGCAGTCCTTTTCAGGCTGGCAGCGAGTCTCTGCAGCCAAGCTGCTGTCACACAGCCCCAGGCCTGCAGCCCTTTCTCCCTTGGCTGAATGCAGGGGTTTGTGAGAGCTCCCCACATCATGTTGGGCAACGGGAGCGTAATGAAAGCATTGGGGTGAGCTAATTTTTCTCTCACCTGCTTTTATGTTCTTGCAGGAAATTGACAACATCTGGATCTCCAGTAAACTGAGCCGTGAGCTCCCGTATGTACCCATGCCCCAGCTCCTTCTCTGCTCTCCTGAGGGGGGTCTGTCTCACCTCTGGTCCTGCTGACTGCCTCTGCACCTTTCTGTGCTGCCCATTTCCCACGGCCTACTCTGCAGGAGTGAATCATTCTCCTTTGGGTGTCTCATGGTGGCACCCCTGGGGCTGGATGTGTGGGCCCTTGTAAAGGTTGCTTTTGCTGGTTCTCCTGCAGACGCTACTTTGAGCTGTGTTTTGGTGAAGTGCGAATCCGCACAGATCTGCTGAAGAGCCATGGGCTCCAGCCATCCTTCCCTGAGGCTCCCAAAGAAGCTGATGATGGCAAGAACAAAGCAGACCTGGCCCTTAAATCATCCTTGCTGCGGCTCCTTAGCCAGGTGAGCTCTGGCTCCATGAGAGGGTGTTGCAGGCTGTGCTGCTGTTGCGTAGCCCTCACCATACTGCCTTCCACCAGCTCTTTTCCATCCACATGGACTCCATCAACATCATGGTTCTACATGTGGCCACCTCAGAGTCTCTCTGGCACATCCAGGCCAGCAAGACACGTCTTCTCCTCAATGGTGATGGGAAGAGGTAATGCTGTGTTCATGCCCTTTATCCCACCAAAAAAGGGAGGGAAGGGGCCTGGTTTTGCAGGGCCTTCAGCCTCAGTCTTCCCTCTGCTCTCCCCAGCCTGAAGTGTGAGGTGAACCTGACGAAGGTCAGCAGCAAAGTGCTGCGGAGCAGCCAGCAGGTGAGTACTGGGGAAGGGAGAAATTCAGTGGGCCTGGGCACCAGTGTTGAGGCTGGATGATGCTGAATGTCCTGCAAGGCTCTCAGCTCCATGCTGCGCCCAGTGCATTATCTACAGCCTCCATCAGCAGGGAGCTGGGTGACTCCTGGTGTATTCCTTGCCCATGTCCCTACGCAGGATGACACGTGCCTGGCAGAGCTGGCCCTGGCACTCTCCATCTCACTGGAGATCAGCAGCAAGCAGCGACTGGTGGGCGTCACGCTGGGTGTCCGGACCCTGCAGGCAGAGCTGCACGAGGGGCTTTTCTGCAGCCCTCTGTTGCACCGTGTGACAGCCAGAGCCCCTCAGCCTAGCCCAGGTCAGGGACAGGAGCAGGGCTGGCAGTCCCCTCACTTCCACTGCAGCCAGAGGGATTTGGCTGTGCTATCACTGCTTACCAGTGCAGGGAGTGGGAGTCTGGGCGAGAGCCTTTCTGTGACTTTGTGTTTCCTGCTCCAGACTCAGCAGAGTCCCTGAAATCCCCGTCCCTGCTGAGCAGGGACACACTGCAGCTCATCCCCAGGAGGATGGATGTGAAGTTGGAGAGCACCAGCGTGGTGCTGTCTATGAACAGCCAGAAGAGGTAAGGAGATGGTTGTTCTAGCCACGATCAGTGCAGGGTCCTGGGAATAGCTGTGCCACTTTCTGCTTGTCCTTTGCTCTGCCTAACTGCAGAGAGAAAATCCCAGGGGGAAGGACTGAGAGCAGTCTGGGGCTGTGGGCTCTTGGGGAAGAAAGTAGGCAGGGAATCTGGTTCTCCAGCACGATAGTGTGAGGGGATATTCTGCTGGTGTAATGCTGGTGTAGTGTTGGGCTGGGCTGCAGCTGCAGTCTGGGCTGTGCTTTGTCCATGATAGCGTGCTAGTCAGCTGGGATAGGAGATGTAGGAGATTGAGGTCGTGATGGTGCAGCTCTCTCCTGGCAGTGACCCTCTGCTTCTCCTAGGCACCTCACCTGGAGCCTGAAGCTGCTGCAGTTTCTATATCAGCGTGAAGAGGAGCAGATCCCACTGCGCAACTTCACACCCACCTCAGATCTGGACCAAATGAGTGTAGACCTCCATCTGGAGGGCAAGTAGCCAGGAGAGAACCTATGGTGCGAGGCTGCTGCCACTTCTGTCCAGCACCCCTCACTTTTGCTCCTCTCCCTCCCCAGATGGCCTTCTCCTGTCCCAGAGCCGCCAGCGCATTGTGTGCCTCAACTCCCTGAAGACCAGCGTGCAGGTGAGCAGATGCTGGACGTGCTCCTGTCCCCTGGAGGGGCTGATTTGACTCCAGGCATGAGCTTGCTGCCACCCTGTGCTCTCCCTGCCCTAGGTCACAGCCATTGACCTCTCAGCTGCTGTGCTACTCAACACCTGCATCATCCACTACCGCCACCAAGAGTTTTCGCACTGGCTGGGCCTGTTGACACAGGAACACAGGCAGCATTCGGCACCTGTCCCCAGCCAAGGGCACAAGGGAAGGTAAACTCAGCTTCAGCTGCTGGTTTTGCAGCTTGTTCCCTCTTAGCTGCTGCTTTCTGGCAGGGTGCCTGGGCATACAGCGCCTTCTCTGCCCTGCACACAGCCTATGGGTCAGGGAGGCTGATGTGGAGGGTGGACCCTACAGGGAGGGTGTCCCTTGGAGCCTGTTCCTTGGCACACAGGACCCCTGTAATGTCCCATCCCTTCTTGTCCTCTATAGGAACTATCCCCAAATCATAGCACCCGTCATACTGAGTGCCTCGCTGTCCAATGTCAATGTGTCGGTGCAACTGGGGGATACTCCACCCTTTGCTTTGGGCTTCAACTCCATCTCTGCAGGTAAGGGTTGGCTCCAGGGTGCTTGCTGAGCTCTTCTTGTGGGGTTGGTGGAGAAGTACTGGGGATGATCATCATCCTGAGCCAATGGCATGGGAATGGGGAAAACTTTACTGTGTCTGAGTTGTCTGTTTGGGGGCTGCCAAGCAGGCAGCAGCAAGCCCTGCCTGTACTCACCTTCTGTGCCTGCAGACTACCAGCACCTGCGTCCCCAGAGCGTGCACCAGCGAGTCGTGCTGGTTGTGGACCACCTTTGCTGGCGTGTGGGCAATGACTCGCACATCCAGCGTGCCCCCCACCCCCCCAACATGCACGTGTGGGGGGAAGCCCTCATCCTTGACTCCTTCAACCTGCAGGTGAGTGGCGAGCTGAGGGGTGGCTTTGAGGGGGGAGGATGCTGCCTATCCACAGCTCCAGACAAGACACATAATGGCATGGGGGCATCCTACATATGGAGAGTGATCAGCCTGTTTGTCCTGCAGGGCAGCTACAACCAGCCCTTGGGCATGTCCAGTGCCCAGTCAGACACACTCTTTTTGGACTGCACCATCCGAGGGCTACAAGTGGAGTCATCAGACACCTGCACCGAGTGCCTGGCCAGGGTCCTGTCCCTATTCTGCCCACAGCCCAGTGGAGCTGAGCTTGCTGAGCAACCATCTTCTGTCCAGAGTGAGCCCTGGATACTGCTCTGGAAGGTAGATCTGAAGGTGGAGGATGTAAATCTTTTCACACTCTCAGCAGTGGTGGGTAAGTGCAGTTGTGGCATCCAGAGCAATTCTAGATTACTGTCCTGGAACAGCCTCACTGTTACAGCCTGGCATACTGTTCCTCTAGGTGCCCTGGAGCTGCGGCTGGACACGTTGACTGTCCTGGGGAGTGCTGAGAGCTGCACAGTCAGTGCCCAGGGCATGGTGCTGGCCTTGGTGAAGAGCATTACGGAGAAGATGCAGCCATGCTGCAAAGCTCCCGCCATCCCCAACCCTGTAGCCAACCTCTCCATGCTCTCCATCACCTACCACAGCAGCATCCGCTCCCTGGAGGTAGGATATGGGCCTTGAGCCTCTGTTTTATCCTATACTGGCATGTATGGGGCAGCGAGAGGGCTGGCCAGCCTTGAAAGATGATGGAGAGCAGGACACAGCAGTGATTTGTTGCTTGCTCTCTCCCCGCTGTAGGTGCAGTGCGGTGAGGGGCTGGCGGTGCTGTGGAGCCCACCTGACCACATGCACCTGTACCATCACACTCTGGCCACCCTGCAGTGCCTCGAAGCCTTGAGGAGTGCCCTCAGCCATGGGACACCTCCCTCCCTATCCCCAGAGAGCCCAGCGTCCCCTATGGTCAGCCCTCCTGAGACATTAGAACTCCTCCAGGCAGACGGGGCTCCTCCCAAAAGACTCCTGTCTCTGTCGCTGGAGCTGAGCTCTGCCAAGGTCACCGCCTTTGTTTCTGAGGCCAACTACATCAGCCTGGCTGCCGAACGGACCTCTGTGAGCTGGCACGGCGGTGCTCTGCACGGCTACTGCCCTGAGCTGGCAGCCGGCTTTGATGGACACAGCATCTTCAGCTTCAAGGAGGTGGAGGTGAAGCTGCTGCCAGAACTGGAGGAGGTCATCTTGCACCGTTGCGCCTTCCCCACCCTGCACACACTCCGCAACCGCGGCTGGGCTTTCTCCTTCGCCAGCGTGACCATTGAGTTCCCCTACCAGTACGACTTCTCCCGCACGCTGGACGCGGCCGTGGGTGTGCAGAAATGGTTGAAGGGTTTGCACCGGCGTGGGCGCCCTGCCAGCACGGCTCTGCCTCCCGACCTCCTGCTCAAAGTGACGCACTTCTCCTGCGTCTTCCTGGACGATGTCTTCGAGGTCAAGTTACGGGACAATTACGAGCTGATGAAGGATGAGAGCAAAGAAAGTGCCAAGCGTTTGCAGCTGCTGGATGCCAAAGTGGCTGCGCTGCGCAAACAGCACGGCGAGCTGCTGCCTGCCCGCAAGATCGAGGAGCTCTATGCCTCGCTGGAGAAGAAGAACATTGAGATCTACATCCAGCGCTCGCGGCGTCTCTATGCCAACACACCCATGCGGAGGGCTCTCCTCACCTGGACCTTGGCCCACCTGGAGCTGGTGGCCATGGCTGACGAGTCTTTCCACGGCACGGAGCGCGTCGTCGAGCAGATGAGGGACATCGACAGCGTCAGCCCGTTCCCCCCCGAGGGGCTGGAGATGGTCACCCAGTGGTGCCGCATGATGAAAGGCAGCGTCAGCAGCTTCTTTGGTGAGTGATCTTGTGTGTCCTTAGAGGACACTTAGATGACAGGACAAGGGGAAACGGCCGGAAACTGCAGCATAGGAAGTTCCACACAAATGTGTGCAAGAACTTCTTTACAGTGAGGTGACGGAGCACTGGAACAGGCTGCCCAGGGAGGTGGTGGAGTCTCCTTCTCTGGAGATGTTCAAGACCTTCCTGGATGCCAACCTGTGTGACCTGGTGTAGTTAACCTGCTTTGGCAGGGGGGTTGGACTCGATGAGCTCTGGAGGTCCCTTCCAACCCCTACAATTCTGTGATTCTGTGACAGCACAGTGTCTGCACGGTCCTGGGCTTTTAGGATGGACCTACTGGCTCTGCGTGGTGTGCAGCCAAAGAATAGAAAATGATTTTCGAAGATGCGAGGGAATGGAAATGCAGAAAAGGCACAGCCGTGTGGTGGCTGATGCTGTGGCCTAGACTGAGGGGATCAGAGCCTTTGTCCTTTGTCCTTTGCTGCCTCATCCACCAGCCCTTGCTCTGCCCCGCAGTGCGGATCCGTGACTACCCACGCTACCTCTTTGAGATCCGGAACTGGCAGCTCTCAGGGCGGCTGATCGGAGCTGAGCAGTGTGGCCAGGCCTGCTCCCGGCGCCGCCAGGTCCTGAAGCTGGGGCTGCCCTGGGGAGATGCGATGGTGGAGAGGAACATGCCTCCCCTAAAGTTCTACCACGACTTCCACTGTAAGAAGCAGAGGGGCCGGGGGGGCGCTGCTGGGGTGGGGACAGGCAAAGGGCTGAGCCGATCCCTGTGTTCCCAGCTGAGATCTCCCAGTTCACCATTGTGTGGGGGCCCTGCTGGGACCCAGCCTGGACCCTGATCAGCCAGTGTGTGGATCTGCTCACCAAGCCCACAGAAGACCCCAGTGCCCCGTTGCCTTGGTGGGACAAGAGCCGCCTTCTTTTCCACGGGGACTGGCACATGGACATCGAGCAGGCCAACCTGCACCAGCTGGCCACTGAGGTGAGTGCTGCTGGGGTTGGGAGCAGATGTAGTGGGGGGGGGGGCATCTCACACCTTCATCTTCCCACGCTTTGTCTGCAGGACCCCTACAACACCACGGAGAACATGCACTGGGAGTGGAGCCACCTCTCCTTCCATTGGAAGCCTGGACAGTTTGTCTTCAAGGGCAGCCTAGACATCAATGTCCGGACAGCTTCCAAGTGAGTGTGGGCCCTGTAGTGTGCGGGCTACGAATGGTGCCAGAGGGGTAACTGGGGACCTCTTTCCCCTTTCAGATATGATGACTGCTGCTTCCTGCACCTGCCCGACCTGTGCATGACGCTGGACATGCAGTGGCTGTGCCACGGGAACCCCCACGACCACCATGGTGTGGTGCTGCGCTCCCCTGAGTTCCTGCCCGAGGTGCCAGTGGGGCAGCAGTACGACTCCTACCGTGCCTTCCGCTCTGAGAACCTCAACCTCTCCATCCGGATGGACCTGACACGGCCCAGTGAGGGTGGGTGACAGCACCCCAGGGATCCCTCCAGGGCAGAGGGGATGGTTTTACTGATCCTTATCAATCCTTCATTGGATGCTCTTGCGTCCTTGCCTCGTGGCACTGGCTGATGGTGGGTGTATTCTCAGAGCACTCCCAGCCCCGGATCCTGCTCTACAGCAGCACGCTCCGCTGGATGCAGAATTTCTGGGCCACGTGGACCAGCGTGACGCGTCCTATCTGCCGTGGGAAGCTCTTCAACAACATGAAGCCCAGTAAGAAGAAGTTGGGGCAGCATTACAAGCAGCTGTCTTACACTGCGCTCTTCCCCCAGCTGCAGGCAAGTCTTGGGGATTGGTTGCTGGTGTTATTTCCCTCTCTGTCCAGCTCTCAGCACCTGCTGTCTGCTCCCTTACAGGTACATTACTGGGCCTCCTTTGCCCAGCAGCGGGGGATCCAGGTGGAGTGCTGCCAGGGGCACATCTTCACTCGTGGCACGCAGCGGCTGATCCCACAAGGTGAGTTGGGGCCCTGCTGGCAGTGCCTCTGGGCAGGGTGGGGACCTGGCTGATGCCTTTCGCTGTTCTCCAGCCGGCACGGTGATGCGACGCCTCATTTCTGAGTGGAGCATCACACAGATGGTGAGTGATCTGAGCCAGGTCACTGTGCACCTCATGGCCTCCACCTGCGACGAGAACGCTGACCACCGTCTGGATACCCTGGTGAAGAAAACTCACCTGCTGAGCCTGTCTTCCCTCACGTACCAACGGCACAGCAACCGCACAGCTGAGGAGGTACTGCTGGATAAACTGAGCTGTGCTGGCCTGGTGACATCCCCCTGGAATAAGGGGATCTTCATCTTTGGGCACAGTGCGGGAGGGCAGAGGCCGGTTGTGGCTTTACTGTGCTGAGGCTCTGACCTTTGTGCCCAGGAGCTGCCCCTGCGGGATGGGGACGATGGTTTCCATACACACCAGCTGCACCTGGTGGACCTGCGAGCATCCTGGACCACCACAAACCGGGACATTGCCTTTGGTCTGTATGATGGCTACAAGAAAGCGGCTGTGCTCAAGCGCAATCTGTCCACCGAGGCTCTGAAGGGGTTGAAGATTGACACACAGCTGCAGGCCAAGAAGCTGAAGCGAGGCCCCCTCTCTGCTCACTCTGTCCCTGCCAAAGTGACTGCTCCCATCACCAGCGGCCGTCCTGAGAGAGCTTCCTCTGGAGGTGTGTGTGGCTGTACGAGCCTGGCAGCACGTGCTAGCCTAGAGCTTCTCCAGCCTTCATATCCTCAACCTTGCACTGATTTTTTTTTTTCTTTTTTCCTTCCCTAGGAGCCTACATGTTGCAGAAGCTCATTGAGGAGACAGATAAGTTTGTGGTCTTCACAGAGGAGGAATCAGGAGCTAGTGAGCAGCTGTGTGGCATCGCTGCCTGCCAGACTGATGACATCTACAACCGCAACTGCCTCATTGAGCTGGTCAACTGCCAGGTACCAACCCCTGGCCAGCCTCTGCTCCCCTGGCCTTGTGGTCAGAGGGGCCATGGCTGGTCTTGACGCCCTAGGGTCTCTTTTTTAATTCCACAGATGGTGCTGCGTGGTGCGGAGACAGAGGGCTGTGTGATTGTGTCTGCTGCAAAGGCTCAACTGCTGCAGTGCCAGCACCACCCTGCCTGGTATGGGGACACACTGAAGCAGAAGACATCTTGGACGTGCTTGCTGGATGGCATGCAGTACTTTGCCACAACAGAAAGCAGCCCCACAGAGAGGGAGCATGGGCAGCTCTGGCTGGAGGTGAGAGACTGGGGTTGCACATGGTGGATGAGCTGCAAGAAGGACAGCCACCAATGCATCTTTGCCTTCCTAGGTGAAGAATATTGAGGAGCATCGGCAGCGGAGCCTGGACTCAGTGCAGGAGCTGATGGAGAGTGGGCAGGCAGTGGGTGGCATGGTCAGCACCACCACAGGTACGGCTTGGGGAGCTGGGCACCACGCTACCCGACTCTGCTTGCATGTGACCCTGAGGTTGGCAAAGCTGAGATGGCTCCAAGAGCAGAGCCAGCTCCAAACCCTGTGCTTGAGAGGTCTCTGGCGTGGCCTTCTGACTTCGGTTCCCCTTCCTGTCTGTCCCCAGACTGGAACCAGCCCTCAGAAGCCCAGCAGACCCAGCAGGTGCAGAGGATCATCTCTCGCTGCAGCTGCAGGATGTACTATATCAGCTACAGCCATGACATTGACCCTGAGCTGGCCACACAGATAAAGCCCCCCGAGACTCCTGCTAACCAGGAGAAGGAGGATCTGCTAAAGAAGCAGGAGGGTGGGTACATGCACACCGTGTGTCTCAGCAGAGCTTTGGGCTGACCCACAAGTGTCTACTGAGCCCAGGGGTGATCCATCTTGTACCTGCTGAGATCAGAAGGTCCCCACGTGTCCTTCTTGTGTCCCTATAGGAGCTGTGGACACATTCACACTCATCCACCACGACCTGGAGATCTCCACAAACCCTGCACAGTATGCAATGATCCTTGACATAGTTAACAACCTGCTGCTGCACGTGGAGCCCAAACGCAAGGTACTCAAAGAGCTGCGAGTCCCCTTGTCACGTGCCTGCATCCAGGGCGCCCCTTCACTTCCCCTATCCTTGTGGCTAGGAGCACAGTGAGAAGAAGCAGCGGGTGCGCTTCCAGTTGGAAATCTCCAGCAACCCTGAGGAGCAGCGCAGCAGTATCCTACACCTGCAGGAAGCTGTGAGGCAGCACGTCGCACAGATTCGGCAGCTGGAGAAGCAGATGTACTCCAACGTGAAGGTGAGCCCATGTTCAGGGTAGGACTTGGAATCCCTGCCTTGGGATGGAGGGTGCTGAGGGCTGTCTGTCTTCCAGTCCCTGCAGGATGACAGCAAAAACGAGAGCCTGCTCGACCTCAACCACAAGCTACAGCAGCAGCTGAGCCAGGAGAAAGCTGACCTGCAGCTGGAGAGCGAGGAGCTGAACATCCTGATCAGGTATGGGCCATCGCTGGCTTCCACAGTGTTGTTCTCTCTCTAGGGCTCCCCTGTCCCAGCATTTCCCTATCTGCTGCAGGTGCTTCAAGGACTTCCAGCTGCAGCGAGCCAACAAGATGGAGCTGCGAAAGCAGCCGGAAGACGTGAGCGTGGCACGGCGGACTGAGTTCTACTTTGCCCAGGCACGCTGGCGCCTGACGGAGGAGGATGGGCAGCTGGGCATAGCTGAGCTGGAGCTGCAGCGCTTCCTCTACAGCAAGGTACTGAGCTGGCTGGTGGCTCTGCAGCCCCTGTGCGTGGGCCTGGAGGTGTGGGGTTAATGATTCCGTGTGCGCAGGTCAACAAGTCTGATGACACTGCTGAGCATCTGCTGGAGCTGGGCTGGGTCACGATGAACAACCTCCTGCCCAACGCTGTGTACAAGGCAAGGGGAGCAGCTCTGCTTGCTTGGGGACCTTTTGGTGACCTGGCCCTGTGGCTCTCCTCACTCCAGTCACCCACTTTCCTCCCTGCAGGTGGTGCTGCGTCCCCAGAGCTCCTGCCAGTCCGGCCGCCAGCTGGCACTGAGGATCTTCAGCAAAGTCCGGCCGCCTGTGGGAGGCATCTCCATCAAGGAGCACTTTGAGGTGCTGGGGCTGTGCTGGGAGGTGCAGGGCATGGGCAGAGTTCACCCAGCTCTGACACATCTCTCTCCCTGCAGGTGAACGTGGTCCCACTCACCATCCAGCTCACCCACCAGTTCTTCCATAGGATGATGGGTTTCTTCTTCCCTGGACGCAACGTGGAGGAGGAGGAGGTGGGGGATGAGGAAGACAAGTCCAAGCTGGTGACAACGGGTGAGTGGGGTGGGAGAGGTGTGGCAGTGTTTGATCACCCTCCTGCCACCCGAGCGACTTCTCTGAGCAGCTCTGGCTGCGTGTCTGGATGGTTTTGGGGAGCTGCTGGTGGGATATGTTGAAGAACAGGAACCTGTTCTTGGGTGGGGAGGGGGCTATTGGGGACAGCAACAAAGCCAGAGGGAATCTGGGTCATGTCTGATCCCCAGCCGGACCCCAACCACTGCCTCCTTCTGCCCTCCCAAGGGATACCTGTGGTGAAGCCACGGCAGCTGATTGGGGCTGATGACTCGCTGGGCCCAGGGAAGGGGGTCACTCAGGGACTGAATCGCACCTCAGGGGTCAGGAGATCATTCCGAAAAGCACCCGAGGTACGTGCTGCCCTGTGGGGGGAGTAGGGAGAGCGCTGCTGTGGTTGCAGTGTCTTGGCCTCCCTTCCTTTTTATCCCCTGCTCCCTCCCACCGTGTGCACGTACATCCTTCACATCCCTACGCTGCACCTTGCTATGATTCCTGCAACATACCCAGTGCCAGAGCAGCTCCCGCTGCTCCCCGGTGAAGCAATGCTGTGGCCCAGTGCCCAGCTGTCCCCTCCCCACTGCTTCCTGGCTCTGTCCCTTGTCCTCACCTTCTGCTCGCATCTCTGTCCCCAGCATCCCGTGGATGACATCGACAAGATGAAGGAGCGCGCGGCCATGAACAACTCCTTCATCTACATCAAGATCCCCCAGGTGCCACTGTGTGTCAGCTACAAGGTGAGTGGCCATGTGGGAGCAGGGGCGGCAGCGTGCCACTCTGCCTCACCGCCCTTTCCCCTGCTCAGGGCGAGAAGAACAGCGTGGACTGGGGTGACCTGAACCTGGTGCTGCCTTGCCTGGAGTACCACAACAATACCTGGACGTGGCTGGACTTTGCCATGGCGGTGAAGAGGGACAGCCGCAAAGCCTTGGTGGCACAGGTACATGGGGACGGTGCTGTCCCCCTTCCCACTATGGGGGCAAAGCCTCTATGGGGACAGGCTTGCCCCAGCATGAAGCCAAGGGTGCTGTGTGCAGCCCCATGGTGCTGAGCCCTCGCTCCTGGTGCAGGTGATCAAAGAGAAGCTGCGCCTGAAGCCTGCAGCGGGTGCAGAGACACGGGGGAAGCTGGAGAACAAATCAGATGGGACCATCCAGCAGCAGGAGGAGGACGAGAAGGCACGTCTGCTCATCGGGCTGAGCGTGGGCGAGAAGAACCCCAGCAAGAAGTCCATCTTTGGGAGGCGCAAATGATGGCAGCACCCGGCAGGCCGGGAAGGGACTGGGGTCCCCTGTGCTCCTCATAGCAAAGGGGCAGCCCTATAGCAGTGAGGGGACCACGCTGCTGATGCCTGAGGCGGGGGGCAACCCCATTGCTGTGGGGCCTGGAAGCAGCCGTGCTGCGGGGCTGCTTTGTGGAGTGTAGCCCCCCCCCTGTGCCAAAGGTCCTGTAGGTCCTTGCTGCATGGCTGCTGGCCCCAGGGCCTGGTGAAGCAGCAGGATCGCTCCAGGCTGGGAGAAAGGGGAACAGGAGAGAGTTTAAATAAGAGTTTTTAATTTGGAACAGCCTCGGTCCCAGGGGTTGTCATTCACCCTCCCGGCTTGCGTCGCACTGCTCTCAGCACAGCAGCACCTCGGCCGTGTAGGTTCACCCCCTGCACATCCCACGGGGTTCTCCTGCCCCATTTAAGGGCTCCCCCCTCATCCAGCTCTGCATGACCCCCGCTGCCTGGAACTCTATGGGGGCTGGGGGTGGGGCTGCACTGACCCTTTCACCCTCTTAATTTGGCAGTTGCCCGGAAGGAAGGAAGGAAGGAAGGAAGGGGGGAGGGAGGGGAGGGAGGATGGATGGGAGCACCCCCAGCTCCTACCGGGGGCTGGGATGGGGGAGGCTCGGAGTCCGTGCCTGCCGCCCGGCGCGGATGGGGGGTGGGTACCGCACGGAGCCCCGGTGCCGGGGGGGTCGGGGCGGGGCGGGGCGGGGCGAGGTTATGTAAGGCGGCGATTAACGGGGCCGGGCCGGGCGGCGGCGCGATGGGAGCAGCCAGCAGCGGGTCCGGCCCGGGGCCCCCCCAGGTGCGTGAGGTGGCCCCGACGGCGTCCCCGCGTCCCCCTATCCGGTGTCTGACCCCGGCCCGCTGACGGCTGCCCCCCCGGTTCCGTAGGGCCGAGCCGTGGGGTCGTGGGTGCGGGCGCTGCTCCGCCGGAGCGGGTCGGTCCAGGGGCCGGTGCCGGTACCGGGACTCGCTGTGGCCGCCGAGGAGCCGCCGTTCCCGGGGTGGCCGCTGCCGCAGCTCGTCTCGCTCTTCCTGCCGGAGTTCCCCGTTCGCCCCTCCGCCCGGCAGCAGCAGCTCAAGGTGCCGTCCGGGGACAGATGCAGCGCACCGGGGAATCCTTCTGCTTCACCGGGGACTCCGCGCGTCCCGCGTGCCTCCCGACGGGTCCCCTTGCACCCTGTGCCCGCTCTATTGATGTCCTACCGGGATTTCCGAGCGTCCTGTTCGGGTCCCCGTGCGGTCGGTGCCTTTCAGAGAGGTTTCTGCCCTCCCTACGAGGTCCCCGTGCATCCTTACAGCAGTCCGCGACCGTCTCACCGAGTCCCTTTCTCCTCCCGTCTGGGTCCCCCCTGTGCGTTCCCTCTGCGCCCCGTGTGCCCCACACTGCGATGCCCCCATCCCTCGTGTCCCCATCCTCTACGTCCCCCCTTGTGCCCTATTGTGTACCTCAAGGACTTTATTTCCACCTCCCCTGCCCTGTGCCACTCACCCACCCAGGGGGGGTGTACTCATCATTCCATAGCCTGTACAGCTCCTGTCCCCCCCCTCCTCCCAGATCCTGGGCTTGGTGGCCAAAGGCTCCTTCGGTACCATCCTAAAAGTGTTGGACTGCGGGCGAGAGAAGGTCTGCGCCGTGAAGGTGGGTGCTGCCCCATGGCCTGGGGCTTTCATGCTGTCCCAGGGACCCCCCCCCCATCCTGACAGTCCCTCTTCCAGGTCGTGCCCAAAGTGGAGGTGCTGCGCCGTGACACCCTTAAGCAGTGCAAGGAAGAAGTCAGCATCCAGGTTAGGGGAGAGAAGGGGGAGTTGCGGGGGGCACAGGGAGGGATCCCCCCAACCCAGGGGCCGCTCACCCCATCTCCACTTTGTATCCCCAGAGACAGGTCAGGCACCCGTTTGTCCACGGCCTTGGGGACAGCTGGCAGGGCCAGCGCCACCTCTTCATCAGTGAGTGACCATCTGCCCGCAGGCTCCCCCCAACCCCCCCTGCTCTGCCTG